CTGTTTGCGTATCTCCTTGACCCATTGAGCCAAAGGCTTTGGTTGAGGACCCTAACCGTCCTCTTGTCTAGGTCTGGGCTCCTTGGCAGTATCTCAGCCCGCATAAAACCATGTCATTTTCTCCAAACTTTAAATGCATCCTGCATCCGCCGTCGTGCAGATTATTAAGGGTCGCCTTATCTACTGCATACACTAAGGCGGATAAGCGAAAACATTCTGATGCTAGCGCCTCCCTTCTTTCTTCTCCACCTGTTTCTCTTACTCCCATCCCAATCCTTATTACTAACCTTCCTTCTATATATCCCAGCTTAATTGACAGCTTCCGAAGTGCCACTAGAGTTACAGCATCTGCAGCCATCTTCCCACAACACCCATCGGATGCCTATCGGCAACAGTCCCTGATAAGGCCACACTGTCCCATTTCCCTGGTGCCGTTCAAGGTTCGCCCTCCAAGACAAATAGGTCAACAGTCTGCACTCGCACGCACGTTGGACACACTGGGTATTGATGTGTGTTGTGTGTCCGAACATAGGGTCAAACGATCTAATAGGGTTGCTGAATTAATTGCGCCTGGCTTGTCTTCTCACTATTGGTTTCACGTATCCGGAGACGCTGATGCAGCACTCACGGGTCAAGCTGGGGTAGGTATCATTCTCAGCTCCAAGGCTGAGCCATCGTTGGTTGATTGGATTCTAGTGAACAGCCGTTTGTGTGCAGCCCGTCTGACGACATCGACCAAGGTTGATTCACGAAGTAGTACAAAACGTTTATGCTCCCACCGACTGCAATTCTAATGCAGTCAAGGACATTCTATCACGAACTGAGCGTGCTACTACGCTGTGCTACTAGTTTAGATATACTAATAGTACTTGCAGAGGATATGAACGCATACGTAGGGCGTCTTAGCTCTTCAGAACTCAGCTGGGTGGTAATTATGGGCTTGACTCCAAACGGACTGACAACGGTGAGTGTCTGCTGCAACTGTGTGCGGAGCACCAGTTGTTTCTTAGTATCACTGCTTTTAGATACATTGGGCGCTGAAGTGCCACTTGGCGTCGTCCTGTAGCTGGCCAGCGATGGACCCAAATTGATCACATTGCCACCAGTTACAGGTGGCGTGGTTCCATCCTGTGTTGCCGCTCGTACTGGAATACCTGCGTCGACTCTGATCATGCTTCGGTACGCTGTCGTTTCTCCATGACCTTTAAAGGAAGCCGCACCAAGCGTCTCTCCCGATTGGCAACTAAAAATTGTCTCAATCCTCGGTCAGGCAAGCCTATCAAAACGCACTGCTTACAGAACTTTTGCTTTCTTGTTCTAATGATACTAGTTTTCAGTGGAATAGCATCTGGGCTGCCATGCACGACGCAGGAGCATCTGCTTGTGGCACTATCAATCGTCACCGCACCGGTCACTGGATATCCGAGATGTCGGTGAACCTGTTGGAATCTAGAATAATGCTCCCGGCTGGCCCTGAGCACAGTGTGAGTAGTCGGGCTATTAGGTGCGAACTAAACTGGAGCATACTTGCTGACAAGGAAGCCTGATGGACCAGTCGGGTTCAAGAAATGGAGCAGCCAGGAGCAGTAGGCAAATACCACAAGCTCTTCCAGCTAATCCGCACCACCGGTCCCAGAAAACCAGGCGTCAGTGAGACAATCAGAGACAGCGCGGGTGCACTGATACACAATAAGAAGCGGTGGATGGCTCGTTGGGCGGAACACTTTCAAGATCAGTTCAACTGGCCCCCTGCTCCCGGACCTCTTCCTACACAGGTGATGCAAGACGAACAATGGACGGTTAGTTCAGAGCTTCCGTCGGAGGCCGAGGTCCGAAACGCGATCACAGCCCTCAATCGTTTTCGTGCCGCTGGCCCGGATTCCCTCTCACCTGCACTATTTAAGAATGGAGGTGAGGTCCTCTGCAAAGCGTTGACTTTATTCGAATGTATCTGGAAAGAAGAGTATCCCGGCTAATTGGAGCGAATCGATTATAGTGACAATATACAAGAAGGGTAGTCGCACAGACTGTGCGAACCACAGGGGTATTAGCCTAACGCCAGTTGTGACAAAATTACTGGCCTCGATTATCGTTCGTCGCCTCACTGCAGAACGGGAATCTCGGATTAGAGAAGAGCAGGCCGGTTTCCGCCCAGGACGTGGCTGTATAGACCATATATTTACTT